CTCGATGATCTTCCGAGGTCCCTTCCAGCCCTAATGTTTATGACATCTATGAAATCTATGAAATTAAATGTGCAAAATGTTACAATTAAATAAAATACAAATCTTGGCTTGGTCTCAATTTAAGTACTTCTGTAAGATAGTTTTTTCTGATATGGGGCCCTATACATTATCTAATGGAGCTGTGCATTAGTGTAGGGTTCTACACTTATTAATCTAATTACTGGATCTAGATCCAAGAACCTATTTTTGAAAACTTGGCACTTAGAATTTCTCATAAAACCAAGCAGATTCTTTTTAGAAGAAATTTTAGAACCATGCTTTTCTAATTCTTTTGCATCCCATCCAAACTAATTCCCATCCCATCCAGACTTAATAGTAAGATATTTTAATAAAGTTATGTACGTATAGTTTAATTCCTTGTTCGAGGCACCAAGTAATTGATCAAAATTTACTTTGACACAATTTTGCCTTGCTTCAATATCTTGGTAAATTATTTTTCTACACTGTTAGTATTACAAGTACAAGTGACTCCCTCCACCTCCCTGCCCCACGGTTGCTGATCAGCCACCGGGGAACTCCTTCCTTCTTGACCAGCCACCGGGGTACACTGACCCAAAAAGCTTAAAAACCCTTTGATTATAGGAAAACTTTCAAATATGTTTTTATTTTTAAATGTTTACATTTCACAAATTGCCATATGAAATGATGAGTGAAAACACAAGAAAAATAATGATCAATTGGAAAAAATGATTAAAATTATGATTTGGGTATGTAGGCAGATAAGGTTCTTTCAGTAAATGTGATATCTTTTATTAGAGCAAATAAACAGTTGGGGAAAATGTTCTTTGCAAGCTTTCGGGTAACAACACCCTTCTTCAGGCACAGGTAGAGTTTGTTGTTTCTTTGTGTGTGCTCTTACTCCACCCAGAAGAGCACACAAGGTACCATAGGGTGCCACACAATATTGGCACTTTTAGATACGAAAACACTTGCATGTGATTTATAAAATAAACAAGTAGAAATTCAGTGTCAAAGACCGCAACAGGTCAGAATGGTTTTCTGAGATCTTTGTAATAAAAGAATTGCTTTATTTTTCCATAGTCAAAAAACAAGTGAAAGCTAAAACCTGGCATTTTCCAAGCAGTTTCTTAGATCTAAAACAGTTGAGAACCCCTAGTTTAGAGAGACACTAATGAAGCACATTTTGTAAGATTATAAACACATGTTTTCTCACCTTCTGCACAGTACCCCATGCACCCCTGGGTAGGCTGTAGTAAGTAGATGAAGAAATTGCCACAGTTCCTCACGCTTACAGGGATTCGGAAAAGACAGCAATCTTTTGTGGCACTGAAGAAAAACTGCCATGTTGCACAAGCTGTTAATTGTTTGATCTCACCAGGCTGAGGCATGGATTCTGACTCCCTCAGAGATAACCAAACAGGAGCTTGAGTTCCACAGTGGTTCATCTTTAGCACGAAACAAAAATTAGCAGAAATGCTATGTTATAGAGTTTAATGAAAGATGCTTATGTTTTCAATTATTTTAGTGCACAAGCAGGTACTTACATGCATTTACTAGACTGAACACTCAGATTAAAAGATTGCTTCATATAAACTGTGTGTTGCAGAATGCTATTAGAGAAAGAATCTATTTAAAGCAGGGGTCAGCAACCTAGGCTTTAAGGTGCAATGGGAACCAGCCACAAAATTATTATTCATATACTGTGTAACAATTTTATGGCTTATCCCTCATTTTATTGTGCCATTAACAGCATGAACATGTGACCACAATGCTACTTCAGATATGATTAACTGGTTAATCATGTCTTAAGCGTACCATCTGCCAAAGCAGAGATAACAACCACTAGAGATATGCTCCAGTTAATACCCTGGTAGCATTTCTACCAGTCATGATGAACCAATGATATAAGGAAAAATGGACATGTATCAATAGGTGACTAGACTCATCAGTTCCTTTTGAGTTCTATAGATGCCTCCTTGAAAAGCACTCCTGGTAGGAACTGAAACAGCAGCATGCTGTGGGGTTGGGGGGCTGGTGGTGAAGAATGGCTTAACCAACAGATGCATCAGGAATCCAAGCTGAGTTTTCCTTTCCCCTTTTTCAATATGATGCTAGTGTCTGCAGTATAGCTCTCTAAATCCTTAGAGGATTGCAAATTAAGGGTTCAGAGTAAACCTCAGCTACTTTGCACTGCTCTGAAGATACAAAACAGCTGTAAAGCCTATTTAACTAGCCAGTGTGCTTTAGTTGTCCTATGCTCATTTATTGTACTGATGAAATAACTCTTAAAATATTATAAAATACTATAAAGTATTATAGAAATAAAAGAGGACTGAAATCTCTTTTCTTTCTCACAATAAAATCTTTCATTAAAAACCACAGAACTTTTAAAACAGAACCATATTAAGGCAGTGTTAAGGCTGAGAGCAGGTCACTTAAGGGTATAAACATTTCAGAAATGTACTAGTCCCAAAATCAAGCACTGCAACCACAGAAAATTCAAACTTAAGGGTTACTCTTGAATGTGATATAATTTTGAGAGGTCAGATGCAAAATAATCTTAGTTCTATCT